AACTCAGAAGAGAACTCTTGAGCCGAAGCTCTCCTGGATGTTTGGCAACATGAAGTAATTTGGCGCTGATGTCGGCCATGCAGCCACCACATGCAGAAAGATGAAAGATGCATGACGTCACAGCACCGAGGCTCAGGCGCATGATGGTCGGGTAGTAGCCTGAGTGTGGATGCAGCCTTTCACTTGGGCAACGGGCCGCACCGCTTCTTACCGTGTTCAGCTTCATAAATACTTGTCAGAGCAGAACTGCATCTGCTAGACTTTGGACAGCCGTTCTTTCTGGCCAACAAAAACCAACTGTCACCAACAAAAGCCCTCGCCTGAATGAAACCTTGTGGCCAGCTGTGCGGACATGAGTGAAGCATCACTGTTCAGGGAAAAATACAGTGCTTTCCTCTTGCACAAAACATTGCGTTGGCAGTTATTTAGCTTTGTTGACATTTTTGAAATGAAACGAGGCAAAATATGCCTTGGCAGTGGCCAGGTCTGGACTGTCCGTGACCAGACTGAAGTCGCATACTTGAGGGCCGGTGGACGAACGCTAGCAAAGCCAAATTTAGCAAACATTAGACACTCAAGATTGTGCGAACTGCCGCAAGAAACATCACGACTATGGAGAAGGCTTGGGGCAGAAGCTAAAGCTTACAGAATCTCGCTAGCACAGCTAGCTTTCATGACCAGCAGAGCACCAGACTGAACGCAGCAAGCATTGAATTTCCCATTCTAGTTTGCAAACAAATGCTGACTGCTTTGATCGTGCTGTTTGACACTCTCAACCAGTCACAGAGTCGCGCGCTGCCTGCATAGCTCACACCAATCTCTCTCTCTCTCTCTCTCTCTCTTTCTCTATATATATATATATATATATATATGTGGGCCAGACTTGGACCCGCTGCAAAAAGTGCTGTTTGAAAGGAAGAATGCATGATTAAAAAAAAACAAAGGTCAAAGGCAAGCTATGCCTGGCAATGTTCACTCGAGGTGACTTCTAACTCTACCCCATCACTATGCTCCCGGCCCCATGTCGGGTTACCCGCGTAGTCAGCGATGCGAATCTCTGCCTGTGGCAATTCGCGGTAGTCAATCAAGCCATCGACGTGATTCTCCAACAGAAACAATTACCAGGGCCATCCAATTTAAAGCGCCTGTGTGATGAACAAAGCATTGAGATTCACAACCATCCAGCAGTCTCGGCTGAGCCACGTTTGGCGAGCGCCCGGCACCCAAAATACCCCAAGGCCCCAAGGTCACGTGGCTCTGGTTCCAGATGCTCTGGTCTGTCATACTCCCGCCCTGAATCTCAATAACTTCCTTGGGCAAGTACATGGAATATTCAGTGTCTCGAAACCAATGTCTTGGCACAAAAAAATCAACCTTGGGTTCTGGATTCGCTCATGGAACCATGAAATGGCACTGGATTTGGCTTGCTGAACTGATTTGATCGCTCTCACAGCCGAGACACCCTCAGCCCGAGGGGGGGAAGGCCTGTCGCCCTGCAAAAAAAGTCGTGCCTCGATGTCGCCAACCGGCATCACCTTCTCCGAAAACTCCTGGACGAGCATCTCACACATGCACAGCCGTTTAGGGAAGCAAGCAGCATCCCTTGTGGCCTGCCCCATGCCAACATGAGTTGTAGCAAGTGCTGAAGCAGGAAAAATAACGGCCAAGCAGGGGCCTTGGTCTCTGAACCATTGCTCATGTGTCAGCATGCCCTGTCCTCAGCATTCAGCCCCATGTGCAAGACGTTGTTGTCCCAGAACCTCCGCGCCTGATGCAAAAGCAGTTCAACTGAAAGTGCCCCAAAGTGATATATAAGAAATCTGTCAAAATGGACAAAGTGCAGGTTGGCGGTTCTTCAACATGAAACCAACCCTTTTCAATTGTCCGCCAACTGCTTCATCCTTCCAAATGTGAAACATGTCTCGAGCTGCCAGGGCTCAGCTGGTTCTCAGGCAGCACACATCCTTTGGAAGCATGAGCAGCCCCCTGACAATAACCTTTGAAGTACATACAGCTCGAGGGGCAGCCTCAAACCATCGCTGTATTGCGAGATGGAATACAGAAAGGCACGGCAAAAACATCTCCAGTTCTGTGCGAGGTAATGCTTCAATCCCGAGAAACGCAAGCACTACAAACGGACTTACGATAAACTCAGGAAAAAGCTACCAAACAACACACTCTCAGTCCCCAAACACGCAAGGCTCACTGCCGAGGTGGTTCCCCGCTTATCCCATGGATCCCTGCCTGGACGTCCGGAGTGTTGTGGTTGTCACGCTTGGGGATGTAGTCTTGCAGAGGGAACTTCCACTGGCAGTCCTGCGCGCGATTGCGCAGGACTAATGGTCGTCTGTTTGAAGCGCTGCACAAACGATAGAAGCCTGCACTACGGATTCAAACAACAAGCAGATCTGCCATGCTACAGTTACATGAGAATATGGGTTTGTGTTGGTTTGCGTGGGAAGTTTGAGGAGGGGATACGTTTCGGGGGTATGTTTCGGGGGGGTGTTTCGGGCTATGTTTCGGGGGTATGTTTCGCGAGTTTCCTCCCTCTGACTAAACTAGATACACGCCGAAAAGGCATGCTGGCCTCCATGAGGAATGATCGTATCCAACTGCAGAATTTGAGATACAAATGGAGCATCTAGAGCTGATCGACACACAAGGGCCCATACGCCTGCAGTAGCTCTGGCACTCTGCAGTGCGTTGGCACATCTCAGGCTGTTTCTGAGGCAGCCCCAGAGCTTGTTTGGGCGTCGCTGGTTGGGAGCGACAAATGAAATACCATCTGCCACAGAAATTGTAACATTTCACGCGGCTGGGCAGCTCTTTTGTTTAGGGTATAGAGATTTGGAGATCAGCAGCTGGCATGGAGAAGTTGTGTGCTTCACCAGAATCGCACACAAAGCTTGGTTGGCATGTTGCTTGGGCGACGTTCTCATCCGCGCAGGAAATATGATTCACGATCAATTTGTTTCAAGATGTTCAGCATTCTCGTGCGCTCCATGGTCTTCATGATTGGCTTGCCACATGTGTGCCAAGTCGCGCACAGGTCCGGAGGCTTGGCAAATTTGTAGCAGGTTGATCAAAGACTACACAGTGCTATGAAAGTTCAACCAAGATCAATTTGCCAACATCCAAGAAAACAAGGCTTTCAATCACAGGGATGCTACAGCATGCACCATCCCATGGAGCTTGTGTACCTTGAGAAACATGACTTTGGCCCCAGTCGTTGGGACCGGATGAGCCCCAAAGGCACGACCGCCGCGCGTGGCATTTTTGTTTACTACAGGTTCACTCAAACAAGTGCCATGCCGAGGCCAGCACTCGAACTCCCTCGTACTGCATGCATTCCGCCTGTCAAGAATGGGAAGCCGGCAATTGAATGCTATCATATAGCGAAGTTATCCTTCATGCCATCTGCAACCATTGGTGTTTTTGTGTGAATTGCACACAAAGGAGCTGCATATGCTGGCAAGTACATGATTCGATGTGTCTGCTCTCATTCATAAAGGTGAGCCATGAGAATGATTAGGCACCCTCTCCCAGTCCAATCTACAGCAGGCAGTTGTATCAAATCAAGTAGTAACGGTCCTACTCAGCCCATAATAGAATAAAGTACCTGGGCCTTATAAAGCAACTCCGTCGAAGCAAGACACAAAGAAACTCAAGCCACACTAGAGCAAGGGGAGTGGCTGCTTTGACAAAGCGTTGTGCCACGACTGCAACCACATAGCGTTGTCCTTTTCTGTGCTAATCCTTTCTCGATGTGTATTTCATTCATGCCAACCACCGTGGCTCAACTTAGCACAATGTGATATGATGCACCAAATGCCAGTCCCCAAGCACTTCACCAATTACAGAAAACGCCAAAGGACCGTTTTCCCAGAAACTGTTTCCAGCAAATGCCCGCTCAATCGACAAATGCGGCAAACAGCCCAGTGTAGAACCTGGAACGTCTCGTCTGTCTGACAAAGAATGTCCCTTCTGTCGGGTTCCATGCGGGAGTGGGAGGATAAACATTGCCTCACATCAAAAGAAATCACAAACCAGGGGGCCCTTCGTTCGTTGGAGATCTGTACAATGCCTTCTGTAAGACTTTAACAACCTCTTAAGTAAAAAGGGGTGTGTGCCATGTTCGAGCTTGAGGCCTTTGCAAAAGAACAACATGCACACCCGCACTAACTGGCTGCCCGGACCGTGAGCCGGCAGTTCTTCTTTGGCATGTCACGGGAGTTGCAAAGGTCCTCAGCAAAGGAAACATCACCCCGCGGCACAGCGGTGATTCTGTTTACCTCTGCCAACTATTCAAGACTTCGCGTGCTGCAGGTGAGATTCTGTGGTGGGGGAGCTTTGGGCGACCGGCAGAACGGATTGAATTGCTTCGAGTGGCACTCTCCGCTTAGAAGAACCACAAACTGCCTGATGAGAGCAGAGTCCTATGTGTTGCTTTCGAGCATGGTGCAGGCCGCGGATTGGTCAGTTTAGGAAGCCCCGCAGCATCACCTATTGCCTCTGCTGCATCTAGTGGTGCAGTGAAAGAGCCTCTGCAATGCGCAAGAGAAACTGATGCGTAAGTGCACCGGGACTCTTTTGATATCAGAGCAAATGCCCAAATCCACTGCAGTCCACTGGAAAGACATCGCATCAGCTTGAGCTTGAGACCTTGTTGGCTATAACCAAGTAAGGCAGAACACATACCACTCTCCTCTGTCAGGTCTCACAAAATAGTTCAGCCTAGAAGTCCTCGGATCCCATTATTTTACGAATCTGTTGTGTCAAGGAGCGTCCCCAACTCTATCGGCCAAACATCATTCACTGAAACTTGCCAGAGCCTGCTGCTAGGCCCAACTCCCACAGCGAGCAAAACTGCAGCTTGTGCTTGTGTGTGTGTGTGTGCCGCGTGTGCTTGCGTACAGTCATATTTGTTTGATGCTCAGCTTCTGCATGTTAAAAAGGATTTGTTTGCAGTCCCAAGATGGCCACGGGTCAAAATCCGGTACCCCCAGTGAACATCCGATTCAATCCCAACTAAAATAGGAAACCCAAAATGGGTGGCGAGTTCACCTACCAACCAAAATGGGATCCCAAAACGGTTTTGACCACCACAGCCACATGGAATCACAGCAGCGCATCAGGGGCCCCCGGGGCCCCGAGCATGGCGCGCAGCGGTGAAGGTCACGTACTGCTCGCTGAGCCTTGCGGAATCTTCGTTGCATCACATGGCTGCGGGTCAAAAATAGGGTAACCCCAAAATGGCTTGCCCTGGAAAATGGAACCAAGGACTAAAACCTGCGGTTTCCTGGTGGGTTTATTTTGACCCGTACCCACATCCAAATCTTTCAGGCCCCCGTGCACTACGCTTGCCTGTTCTATGCTGCTGTGCACTCCTCTGTGTATCACTCTCGGCGTTTCGGATGTGTAGCAAAAACACCACTCTTGCTCCGCTATCGACTCCAGGCTCTCTCGGCCTCTGGTCGGAGTTGAGTGCCGCAAGGCTGCCAAAGAACTCTGAGTTGCCCTGGCCAGATTCTGAGAAATTGGGAGCGTCAGCCTGGAAGACTCGGTTCTGCTGTCATAGTTCAGCCCTTCTCATGTTTAGCTACTTCGTGCATGAGCCACACTGTGATGCATGTTTGAAAATTGGGCAGAAAGGCCAGCACTGTCTGAAAGGGCTCAAACCTTAGTTTGAGCCAAATGATCCCTGCTGACCATCTTGACATGCTTTCAAGCTAAACGCAATATGGTGAGAACGTCTACCTCCAGAATCATGACAATTTTGGTTAGCACCTGACAATGTTGGTTACATTCCGAAGAGGTGCATGGATCTCATTCAAAAATTGGTTCCTCCAGTAGCAGGCTGGTCCGTTGCGACTCCAGGGTTCCCTCCACGAAGCGACGCAAACACGCAACACTATTACGAATGAATGGCAAACAGTGAGTAAACCAGTAAATTACCGCAGTCTAGGTAACCCGAACACATGGCCATGGCTGACGCAAGACATCTGGGGCAACTACATGAGACATGAAATTGATGCGGCATGTAAAGAAATGTTGGGGAGAAGCCGGGCTAGAAATACATAAGCACTACTCCAAGTGTCGCAGTTGGAATAGAACATTACTACATTTCGGCCAACATGTTCAAACAAGATTTCAACTCTTCCATCCCGTTTACACGCTGGGCCTGTCAAGCCCGGCCAGGCCTGAAGCTTCTGGTCGCTGAACATCGCCAGCGATGGGAAGTTGGTCCTTGGGTCGAGTCTTCCTTCCATCCCAATCTCAACTCCCGAAATACCTGCATGATCCCAGCCAGAATCAGTGCTTCGCAACAGACTGTCGTTTTCAGCGAAGCAACGGGAAGATGGAGGTTGAAATGGAATTTGGCTTTTCACACGCCGGGTTGCTCACAGACATCGGGGGTTTGGGGGGGGGTAGGGCAGGGAGGGGTTGGGGGGGGAGGGGTTGGCAAAAAAGGGTTGGCAAAAAGGGGGCCCCTTTCTGCCCAGGCGCCAAAGCAAGGAGTTCCACCATAGTGGCCCTCCCAAGGGTCGAGAAAGCTCCAGCTCGCCCACAAAGTCCTCGGGCCTACAGCGAGATTCCAGGAAACTCTGCAGCGAACAAACCTCTACATTCTGATGAGACATGGCGCAGTGCAGACTTGCCTGCCTTCCGCCCCAGAGGGATAAGGTTGGGCATTCAGAAGAAAAAAAAGACACAGTGTGTGGCTCGCTCCAACTGGTGCTCTTTTGCAAGATCTTCAGCTGATGGGCCGCCTGAAAAACTGTGAGAGCGGTGCGAAACACATGTGCCTTGCTCAAAGCTCCTTGTTTGTGAGTCGGTAATTCTCCGCCCCCTGTGAGGAACATTATATATGTAAATATACAGAATGAGTTTTGATGTCGGGTTCGCAACCAACCTGTGGACCTCAAGCAACTGCATTCATTGACAACCTTCTATTGGCTTTATGGACTGGCTAACAAGTACCTTACAATAAGCTTCGTAAAGGCGTCGCATGATCAAAACCTGCTCCAAAGACTATCTATGCTGGATGCTGAGAGCCTGATTGCCTGCTGACCTTGCTGTTCTCCTGTGGCACTCTCAAATGGACTCCTCTGCGATCGCATGTAAGAACCCAACAACTAAAACAAACTGATTGAACCTCTGGCAGTCTGTGAGCTGTGCACGTCTTGGAGACAAAGATGGTTCCTATCAGGTTGAGTCAAAGAGCTTTTGCAGATTTAGGTCAGTGGTGAAAAAAAAACAGCACTGCAGCCATTCATTGATCTAGTGCTGATATGTGCTGATGTCGCCTGATGTCTGTTCTACACGGAACTATGGGCAAGATGGAGCTGGTCCTTCGCAATCCTCCCAGTGGAGCTCTTGGACTGAGTTGCTTACCTGATGTATACTGCAATGCTTTGTGGGAGGGTGGTTTGTGCCGGAAACATCTATTCATTCACATGGATTGTCAATTGCTGTACATCCACAAGTCAACTCGCAAGTCATGTCACCTGACAGAGTCATGCAATGTCATGCAGGTGCTTAATCATCGGGAGATGGTAGACGATGTGTGGTCGAGTCGTTTTGTGCAGTCACCCAAACATTCATGCCATGCACCCAATCGGTTCACCAAACAGGACTGGGGCTCGGACTTGTGCGGGATCTCCTCTGAGATCACGCATGGTCCCGGAACGGCTCCTGGCACGAGTGAAGGGACGAGTTTTGGCGGTTCCCGAACAGCTCTTTTCCAGCTCCCTCCAAACTTCCAGGCTGCAAGGAGCAGCTTCTCAACTCTCTAGATAATCTCTATTCTGATGCATTCTGCGTCCACTGCACATGAGAGAGCAAGGACAATCAATCAAAACACGGGCGCAAGTGCTCAGACTCTGACATGGCAAGCTGCCGCGCCTATGAAATCACAGCAAGGTTGATTGGTTACCGCTGCTTGGTCAACAATCTATCGACCCTGAGAGGTTCTTTGTGGCAGCAGAAGCAGTGATCAGGGTGCGAACTCCCTTCACTGAGCATGCACAAGCTTCTTGACACGGGTGTTTTGCAAAAAGCGAATCAATCAGTATCTGGTGGCAGTCTCTGGAAAATCACATGCACCTAATCGAAATGCTGAGTCAAGTAATACACGACATTGGCCCAATCCGTACCACCCGTCGATCTCGCACAACCCCTGGCCTGCAATGGTCATGGCGCCCGGGCTCGGCTTGCCAGTTCGGCCTACAAGTTCAGACTCTCAACCCGATCCTCGCTGATGTTGTGTGTCGTTCATGCATCCTGGCAGCCTGAGCCCAAAGCTGAGGAACAAAAAGATAGCACAAGGCACATCAGCCCCATAGGTCTACAAGGAAGCAAGCACACATGAGCGAAAACTGATTCGACAACAACAAGCCCTCAGGGGTTGCCACAGGCAACTGACTCAAAAACCCACTCGTGTCACCCTCTTTTTCTGTCATATCCATCTATTTGAGTCATCTTACAGCTCAGCTTGACAATCCCAGCTAATCTCCGAGCAGGCAGGTGCACCCCTCCATATTTCGTCGCTCATGCGTCGCTCGTGCCGCACCTGCGCAGCCGCTTTCCTCTGCGCGCGCTTAAGCTACAGCTAAGGTATGCATGCTCCACATTCCAAGGACTCATCCAACTGTCTCTCCATTTAAACTTCTTCCGACCAGCACGAAAGCGGAGAGGAGGGCTTCGGAAGACTGACAAGGCCCCCCTGTCCATGATTGAAGATTGGGCACCTTCGTGGGACACAGCTGGCCCCAGATCCACTGAGCTTCCCCTAGTCGGGGTGATGTTTGTGGCCTCAACATATTGGGAACCCGTCCAATCATCTGGAGCAAAGCAACAGGAACTGCTAAACATCTTGTGGTCCCTTTCAGGGTGAGTCAATGGCCTTTGAACAAAGCAAAACGGCCAGGTCGAGAAAAACTGACTAACCTCCTTTTTCTACAGCAACTCTTTTGTCATGATGTTCGTGCAAGCATAGCTAATTGTGCAACGCCAAAACAACTGACTGCAGAGTGCGTGGAGTATAACAGTAACGGACTCAGCAAACAGTTTGTGCAGGGGTGGACCAATGCATGCTACTCCTGAAGCAATAAACGTCATCCAATGGCCACTAACAAGAAACTGTCCTGGCACTACAAATAACAGGGGCAATTGTGGTGAGCACCGACCTTGTCAGCTGTTGAAGGGGATGATACTAAGTGCATAATTGCCAGGCCAGCAGTGTCTAGGCTCGATGCCATGTTGACATTGCGATCTGTCACCATGGCTGCATCATGTAAAACTCGTACATCATGTCAAATCAGAATGGCCGAATAGAAATGCTAAGTCTGCTCAAGTGGGAGGAAACTGATTGCAGCCTCACAAAACTCCTCTAAGCAAACCAAGAACGCTTGATCCAAGCAAAGAATCAACCAAACCAACAGGACCTCTTCACACCACCCGACTTTCCCCCAACCTCCCAATCTAAGCTACAACACCACTCATTTCATTCCAGGCGGCCGGCTGGCCGTTCACTGCGTCAGGCGGCGCAGCCCTGGTTGCAGTTTCGCCAGCGGGTAAACCTCGGAGGCATCTCCGCGGCCGTGAGCTGGGCGAGGTCCTGGGGACTCAGCTGGAAGCCTTCCAGGTCCAAGTCTTCTCGGATGTGCTGCTCCTGAGATGTGTAACAAGAAAGAGACGAAGAAGAAAAAGAAGAACATCACTCAGTTGCCGAAGAAGAAGAAAAGCATTTCTTAGTTGCCGGAAGGGCAACCGGAAATAGAAGGTGAAACTTTGGGGGCCACTAAAAAATACACTTATAAAATGGGCCAGGGGCAAGCAAAAGGTCAAAAGCTCGGCTGTGGGCAAGCCCCAAAAGATTCAGTGCTTTGCAGGAATGCGTGCCGAAAGCCCACCGCGAGCTGGCCGTCATGCTTTTGGGAAGCGCGAGACTCTAGAGCATGTTCAGGCTGAAAAGCAGAAACGGCTTGGGGGTCAAATTGGAGCGTCTACCAGACTACAGAACTGGGTGACCTCCCTTGTTTACTCTGGCCGATGAGAAGAACTGACCGAGTGATGAACAGCCGACCGACTGACCAACCAACCAACTAACCCACACACCACCAACCAAGAAACCAACCAGCCAGCCAGTCAAGCAAGCGAGTAAGCAAGCAACCAAGCAAGCAACAGACTAGGACGTTTCAGCCACCTACCACTGACAATAGCCGATGCTAAACACAACAACTCTGGTTCGCTAAAATACATGCTCAGGCAAGAGCAATACCTGGCGCCGCACCGCCCATGCGCCAAATCACCAAAGGACAAACAGACACCGACCGAGACGCTCCAAGCCGGCACACCCGCCACTCTAAAGCAGACCAGCGTGGCCCAGAAAGCCACGCCACCCCCTTCTGGCAAAAGGAAAACCGCCTGTCACCAGCCGCCAATCACCAGCACCCCCCCCCCCCCCGACGCTGAGCGAATCCGCGACTCCGCGAACCCATCCCATGGAGGCTCCGAGCTGGCGCCGGGGATCACCGCCACCTGCTGGTCCAGGGCCCAACGCAGCAGCACCTGGGGAAGTCTCGGACCCCCCGAAGCTTTTGGCCCGTGTTTCACACGGTAAAATTGGAAAAACAACCCAGAACTTATGAGGATGGGACCTGCAACCCGGTTAGACCAAACATCCAACCACTCCGACAACCTCCCTTTCTTCAGAGGCGTGAAAACTTCAAAGACGTTGGAGAACTGTATTTCTAGATTTGTTTCATGCATTATTTTGACCCCTGAAACTACTGCTCCTGGGATCAACCTATGTGGCCCTTGCTTTTGTCTCCCAGTGAACTTGAGCAATTGGACGCGAGTATTTCAAACTCGCAAATTTGATGGACTCCCCGTTTTGATGTTCTTGTAAATGCAATGAAATGTCAATTCGCAGTTCGATTAAGCCCATTCGCTCTGAGCTCGATCTTTGGAAGATCTGCCAGCAACAAGTATCAAAAAACCAAAGCACCTCATGTCGTGTGACATTGGCCTTTTTCCAATCATTCTTTCCCACTCAACAAGCTTGGACCTTCAGTTGCCTTCAGTTGGAAACTACTTTGCTTCCTTCGTGGCTTGCAACTCTGCTCTTTCAACTTCCGTATGGTCCTGGAAAATGCCATCGCCATCAGGCTGTATCCTCAGGCAGCACAAACCCAATTTCTGAACCCTGTAGATACGCCACCAATGCCTGCGCATTCGTCTTGCCATACTTCTTCGCCACTTGTGACACAACCTGCCAAGGCTTCCAGCCCAAAGCACCCTATTTGGTTGTGTAGTCCTGGTGAGTCCGCCATAATCAGCAAGTTGTTGCCGCACGCTGTGTGCTTGATGCAATACGTGCGTGGTGCACACATACTGCTAAGATTAAGAATGCATTGTATAGCATGTACAACGCGCATTTCAACCCTATCTACAATGCAGAATGCGCAGTGTGCAAAGTCTTGCACTGAAGGCTGTGAACGGCTTGCTGTACACCATCTGCTGTGGTGCACACGCCTTAGCGCAAAAAGTGATGCCAGCCGGAATAGTATATCATGCACAGCAGAAGAGAGGCAAGGATTTGGACCGAGGGCCTGCAATCTACTATGCATACATATTTGCTTGCCACTTGCTGTGTAAATGCTTCTCCAATGTGCAGAATGTCCATCCTTTCCTGTGTGCTCGTTGTGCGTGGCAGGCTGTGAGCTGCACGACTTTTGCGTTGGCTGACGCAAGGCGATCATGCAGCGCCCCTCGCAAAGCATACCGAGTCCAGTAGGATTGGGGGGTTGACGGGTAGGGAGGTGCAGGGAGTTTGGGGAGATTCAACTTGGGGTTTGAAACGGCTTTAGTCTTGGTTGAGGATGGGGTTGGGACGTGTTTAGGGAATGATGTTAGGATGGGTTGCAGGTGGGGTTGATTTAAGATGAGTTGCGCTGATGTTGCCACAGGCTTGGATTGATGTATGCGCTTCAGCTTGCTACGGATTGGTGACCGACCGAGGCAGCCCCTGCAACTCGGCAACCCGGTCGGGGCCTCTGAGCCTCAACAAGCCTTCGTACCGATCCACATGAGCTGGGCTTGTCTCAAAATAGGGGGGGGAAACCCCAAAAAAACAGTTGGTGGTTCCCTTCCAGTTCCCTTCACAACCACCAAAAAGAATGCCCTCAAAAAAAACAACACACACACACACACACACAGAGGCCGTCCTGGCAGGTGTCCTTGCAGCAAAAGGCTCCAGTGGCAATGACTTCAAACCCGGCCTCTCCCCGGGCTTGGTTGGAGGAGCCACCTGAAAGCAAGCTATCCATCCAAACCTATTGAAATGGTCGACCAGCAAACTCGGAGTTAGTTTGAGTCCCAAACAGCTGCTCTAAAAGAGGCCTTCCCACATAGGTTGGCGAATTTTCCAGGGGCATGAGGTTTTCTGAATAAATGTGCGACCCCATTGCTTGCCAAGTGAGCCACAATCAACACCCAGGTAAGAAGGTTCGGGACCAATCAGAAATTTGTGCGGCCGCTCTGACGCTTGTTGTATCTTCTCTGGCCATGCAGAATGGGTGTGTGTGTGTGTGCGTGTGAGGTACTTCAACAACAATTGATGACAGAAATAAACCAGTAGTGACGATTTGTCCCATTGTCTTCCTCTTGCTCTACAGTACAGGGAGTTCAATCGTCACGCTATGCACTTTAATTGTGGATGCGGGAACCGTTTGCAACTATCTTTTGGGTATCTGCACCGAGCTCGGTGATGCTGGCGGTGGTGGGAACAACTACAGACTACTAAGCGGAAATCACGGAAATGAGAATAGGGGAAAACAGCTGTCTCACAGCCAACTGGCCAAAGATTTGGAAGCAAACAAGAATGTACTGGGCTGATAGTGTTTCTCAAATATGGGAAGCATTGAAATGATGACAAAGGGAAAAGTCATCGGCCCACACACATGCTAGATGATGGATGATTGCGCGAACTGTCCCTCCCCCGCATGCCTAGTGATCCGTAGGCTGTCACAACGATGCCAGTGTTCTGGCACCACTTCACCAAGTCCTTCGTCTCTTCCGGAACCCAAGGATGAAACTCCAGTTGGTTCACCGCCGGCTTCACACCAGTCTTGGAGATCAACCGCTCAATCTCCTCCTGGGATCAGGATGTGATAGCGGTACAACAAACTGGCCAAAACAAAACATGCTGAACATGGCCGAACCACAACTAAGTCTGACATGGTGTGGCTTCTGACTTGTTGCATTCATTGGTATTGTGGGTACTAAAGCACTTACTTCCCGAGAGACTCCCAGCTCATGTGGCTCAGCAACAACTTCAGATTGGCGGTCAAGTAGTTGTCCAGTAGTCTGACCAAATGCTGAGCAATCCGCAAGCAGCAAGCTGGTATTCCTCGCTACTAAGAAACAAGGCTGGAAGGGAGAAAGGCACCAGGTTGTTTTGCGTAACAAAGTCTGAGCTTTGTCCAGCATGTTGCCACTGCAAGGTGCAGGAACAAAGCCAACAGTTGGCAAGTTGAAAGTCTTTATTCTGCGACGCGTCGATTTGTTTGGCCAAGGCAATCTAGACAGAATCGCAACTGCAAAGGTCTGGGCTGTTCAGAAGCAACCCTCAATCCTTCCCTTGGAGCGCAGAGGAGGTCTTCATAGTGGTTTGCCATTAGCATTCTGGAACCCGTCAGAGAGCGACTGTCCTCTCTGGCAAAGTTCAAGGACCACAGCTAAGAATTGAAGCCGCAGAAAAGGAACCAATGCTAGGCGTGATGTCACAGACCCCCTCCAGTGAAGTCGGGATTGAAGTCGGGATTGAAGTTGCCCAAATCATCTCTCTTCAGAGTTGCCTGGTTGTGGTTGGACAAGCCGATGCTGTGCACTGTCCCAGCCTACGAGTGGTGGGAATCTAACCAGCGCCTGCTTAATCAGCATGGACCAGAACCATGAAGCGCAGTGTCTTGTTGGCCATTATGAGCATGACAGGGAAAACGAAGGAAGCAACTTCATGATGGCCATCACTGCCCTGTGCCCAAGTCATGACAATGATGGAACCCAATAAACATATATGTATATTGTCAGCCCTATCTTTTGCTGTTTGAAGTCTTTTCACATGTTCTTGTGCATTGACAGTACACATTTTGAATACCAAACTGCCTGGCATAGTTGCTTATTCAATGAGTTGTAGAATGATGTTTAAAATGCAGAATCACGAAAGCGTGTGTGTGCGTGTGTGTGTGTGTGTTGTGTGCAAAACCCCGAACCGCATTCTAGTCTCTGGGGGCATTCCACGATTTGGGCTTGGCACACATGCATTGTTGCAGTGTGTTCTTGTGTTCGACGCTTGCCATGTGTAAACCAAAAAACAGTTTGTCGGTTCACTTTTTGAGACATTTGCAATAGCCACACAATATGTTAGCTCAATTCGCCTCGGCCCCAAAGGGGCCACAGCCCGCCAGCAGGCTCAGCCCAGCGTGCCAAGGTCAGGTTTGTCTAACGTGTCTGAGACTTGCCTGGTCTCAAAGTATGCCAGCCTGAGACTAGCCTCAGGCCCAGTCCCGCTGGCGTCTGCGACTGGCCTCAGGCCCAGCCCAACCAGCAACTCGCCACCCAGCCTCAGGCCCAAGTGTGTATGAAACACGCCTTGCCCATCCAGCAACCCGCCCAAGCACAGCTCAGCCCAGCCCGCCCAGCCCAAGTTCCAGAGGCGCAACCAGCAGCTTAGTCCGGCTGCCCGGCAGCCAGCAAATGCGTGGGGTTCGTGGCTGAGACTAGCTTCAGGCCCAGCCCAACCAGCAACCCACCTCAGCCCAGCCTGCCCAGCCCAGGCCCCAGCGCATCTCAGGGCATGCCAGCCCGGCCCCCAGCTCCCAGCCCAGCAGGCTCAGCCCGGCGTGCCAAGGTCAGGTTTGTCTAATGTGTCTACTAAGCCTGTCTGACGTGCCCCAGCCCCTCAGTCCGGCTGCCAAGCAGCTCAGCCCATTGACCTCCTGCTCGCGTCTGGCCCCAAGCCTAGTCTCAGGCCCAGGCCTCAGGCCCAGCCCAGCCAGCAACTCGCCACCCAGCCTCAGGCCCAAGTGTGTATGAAACAGGCCTTACCCGCCCAAGCACAGCTCAGCCCAGCCCGCCCAGCAGTTCCAGGCGCAACCAGCAGCGTAGTCCGGCTGCCCGGCAGCCAGCAACCCACCCATGGCTTCGCAGCCTTGTGGCTGAGACAGCAGGCTCAGCCCAGCGTGCCAGGTCAGGTTTGTCTAACGTGTCTGAGACTGGCCTCAGGCCAACGACCAGTCTCACGTGTCTGAGACTGGTCTCAAGCTACGCCAGCTACTAAGCCTGTCTGACGCGCCCCAGCCCCCCAGTCAAGCAGCTCAGCCCAGGTTGACCTCCTGCTCCAGCCAGCAACTCGCTACCCAGCCTCAGGCCCAAGTGTGTATGAGACAGGCCTTGCCCATCCAGCGAAGCTTCAGGCCCAGCCCAACCAGCAACCCGCCTAAGCAAACCAGACTCGCAGGCCTCAGCCTATCTAGCGCCGAGACCTGGCCTCGCCAGCCTAGCGTCTAGCCCAGCCCAGTCCGCTGGCCAGGCCTGTCTGACGTGTCTGAAACTGGCCTCAGGCCCAGCCCAGCCATAGCCCAGCCCCCTCAGTGCGGCTGCCCAGCCCGCCGTAAACTAGCTTCAGGCCCAGCTCAACCAACAACCCACGCAAGCAAGGACCAGCCAAGCTGCCCGAGACTGTCCGAGCAGGACGGCTTCCGAACATCGAACTAGCACGGGCGAACTGGTGCGGTCACAAGCTTTCAGTAGGATTCGGACCTTCCCAACACTGGATTTCGGTGTTCCTGACCCTTCCCTCAAACTAGGCTGGGCCGAGGCGGGCAACGCGAAGCGTTTACAATTTGTCTCTTCCCACGGCATGCAAGTACATTTAATAAAGAAATGACTCGATTCAAAGTGAACCACTAACAATAACACATGAACAACATGCACCTAGTCTCGGGGGGCGAAACTTTGGCATTAGCCAAACTTTGCTTTTTGTTGGTTCTCTCGAGCTGATTTTGTTTCGTCAGGTTTTCCATCAGTTGGTTTTGGTTGTTTGGCATTAACCCTCACAAAAAAGAGCTCGAGGTGTGTTTGTGTTTTAGAAGGCCAAATGTTGAACAATGCCAAACAAAAACCTGAGGGAAACCGCAATGACAAACAAAAACTCAAGAAAACCCCAAAAGCAAAGTTTGAGCTACACGCCTTTTTCGAGGTTTTTGTGTTCTTTTGGTTTTCCCTCGGTTTGTTATTGCTTTGCAGTATGCCTATAAAACAAAAGAGTGTGTTGTTTTGGATTTTCTTCTGACACTTGCAACAACCGAAAAACACTGAGTTTCTTTGTTTGTGGGCATTGTCCATCAAGTTTTGTTGTCTTTGTTGTGATTTGCTCCCTCGTGTTTTTTTGTAAAGGTGTGACCCAAAATTCACACGCTTGCTTCAGTATGCATTGACATCTTTTGCTGAAAACTGTGGCCACCGCAGTCAGCCACGTCAGTCTAGATAGGACCAAAGCAATCATACCAGATAGGACTTTTATTAAACAAACTCTACATCGAATAAGGACAGAGTGAAATTCGGACAGAACACAAAAAGAAATGCTGTGCAAAAGGTAGATCATGGGGGGAGGGGCGCTCAGCATATATATATATATATATACATAAATACATAGGGAAAAAAGAACGTGTGTTTGTGTGTGTGTGTATGTGCATACAAGTGTGTATATAGAGAGTGTTTTTCATATGTGTAGTCTGTGGTCGCAGAAGCATGTGACACCTGGTCAGTTCTGCACACCGTCCCAGATCTACTGTCTTTACGGGCAAGGTCCCTTCCCCTGCTTGCACAGCAACATGCACAGAAAGAATCATTGCCTCAATTCCCAGGGCCTCGTTGAAAGCAAAAACCTTGTGTTCAAGGGTAAAACTGACTGGCAGGGCGGTGTCATGACAAACTAGATCCAATGTCCAACATGGTGGTCAACTAAAGGAAGTAGCAATTCAAATGCAGGGGAGTCGAGAGTCCAGAGATGCGGGTCACGGCTTCATTCGCGGCCGCTAGGAAAACGTTCCTCTTGGCGGGACCTTCTGTCAGCTTTCACGTCATTCGCAAAAAGTGCTGTAAGATCCGTTGTTGACAATCAATGTTCTGTCGTCTGTCAATTGGACCCAAAGGAAAAGGGAGTAGGGCGTGCGGCAAGCTGCTCCGGAACTGTGGCCCGAGTGGTTGAGAAACACTAAGAAAAACGAATGAGAAGATGTGTGAGGCTGCAAATGTTGAAAAGGAAACGAAGAATACGCTTAACATAAGCGAAATGGAGTTGAATGCTGACCAGCCAGGGACCATCTACCTTCATCAAGCGGTACTTATGGCTTGTAAGTATGCAAAAGCCAGACGCAAGCAAGCAACATGTAATTATTGCGTAATTGGAGTAGGTGTTTCTCAAAGTCGCTGATTTCCTGCCGATATCCTTGTCAAATGGATTGGCTGTGTGAAAATTAGGAACCCTCCAAAATGATGCGATTCCTTTTGGATTCCTGTCAGCACTGTTGTAGAAGGGATCCCTAGTATGTGTCCAGACCGCCGGATAGTCTATGCTCCGCAGCAAATGGAGTCCCCCAAAACGAGGGTCCGTTTCTAGCGATGAACTTTTGGGATTCCTTCTGTTCATCTGCAGAGTGTTCATTTTGATCCCCTAGCCTAGGTGTTTTGGACAAGTAGATGGCACAAGGCACATGTAAAGAACACCAGTGGAAATCTACGGAGCCCTGGACCACTAGCGATCTCCTCCCACAAAATCGTAGCTGGTATGGATTCCTGTCCCTAGTATATCACCTGATTAAGATGCGGAAATGAGTCGAACTCAAAACCTGGCATTAAGATTGTCTGCCCAGAAACATGTAAGGAATTCAAAAGGCGGCTGCACCTATTTCTGCTTGGGACCATCCCTTACTAACCTTCGTGACCTATACTCGGGTATTGATTGTGGCTCAGATCAAGTCCTACCAAAGGCCCATCGGCCCATCCCCTTTGTCCCTTCGACGGCCTGCTGGGCATCCTGAAGGCCACGCCAGAGGCGCAGGTCCCGGCGTGGATCGATGCCCCAGCCATCGCCCCCGTGCAGCAGCATGAGGTCCAAGTAGCCTCAGCTCCAACGGAGCGCCCCTTCACCAACACATGGGGGAGGGGGGGGGCTGCTGTTGGTTGCCTTTTGGCGTTTCTTCAAGTGTCCGGTCCCTTCACTTTCCTTGCTAAAATTGTCCTTGGGGACAGGCTGGTCCTTGTGTTACCGCTTTGGGGCATGAGGTGTGGCAAAGCGGCACCTAGGAAGCTTAAAAAGGACCACCCTAAGCGGGCAATGGGGATGGATGTACAGGTGTTTTCTAAAAATGGAGCACCTCAAAAGGGCTCTTGGGCTTTCTTTCTGGTTTCAACTGTCCCTGAAACACACAAAAACGCAACAAGAGGTTCCCCCTATTGCCCCGTCCACTGGCCGTTGATGATGAATCCTTGAACCAACCACCAAACGTGGCCCTCCAGGCAGGAGGTGTCCAATACAACATCTTCTGGATGTCAAGCCAGGTTGTCAAAGCGTGTAGGCCCTCTCTCAGACACGTTGCATGCCAGCACGTCTTCGCCTCCCTAGGTTTCACCCGCAACCCTTGGTGTACACAAAGCATGTGGTAGCGCGTCCAAGATGCTGACGAGCTTTTTAGTCCAGTCTCTCCGTGGTTGTGGTTTGGAACAGCTTAAGGAGGAAGCCAGGTTGCACTGGCCCAAAACAAAAGCCATATCTCTTTCTGCTCTTCTGAAGCTTATGGCTTCATGCATCTGTTTATGGGTGCATTTCCTACAAGGTCCTCCAACTGTTGTAGACAGCTCGGGGATATGTCCAAAATCAACATTGCAAGGTAGACTTACACCCAGTAGTTCCACGTTTGGAGAAGTCAACCAAGCATTGCCTTGGAATCCTGCACGCCTTGCATTGCTGGTAGCAGCAAAATAGTCCAAGATGCTGAGATCCAGCTGTTCAAGGCTGGTGGCAACGGCCTAGCAGCGTCAAATGGCGAATCTTGCAAAGATTCCCCCCTTCAGCAGGTGTGGTGTCAGAAGGGAACATGGAATCACAAATGCAACTGCGAGAGTCACCCACCCAATCAGTTTTCACGGGAAGGGCACACAACCAAAATGCTTGGAGACATCTGCCACAACTACTGGCCAGAAATGGTGTGCTTGAGTTCATCCGATTTGAATGCTGGACCAACGGTGGTAATTGACGAGTTGACTGACTTCTGGCGTCAAGATAGTTGTTAAACCTGCTGAGATCACCTCTGGCATGCGGCTTGTGGCTACAATGCTACTGCCACATAACCAGCAAGTGTCCCATAATGACCAGGAATCCTTTGCCCCAGCACAAAGCTATTTCGAACTTCCGCCAAGTAGATCAGCTTTGCTCAAAAACGTACTGTGTGCCTGCCCTCCAACTTATCAGCTCCAATGCCACGACCCGACTGTTGGAGGTCCAACAAATTGCACATCAGAACAAATCCTGAGGGAAGGACCCTCCGGCCGTCACCAAACCCACTTTCGGAGGTCCAACGGGGCATTGAATTTCCCCGGCCTGGACCACATCCTTGGGTGTGTAGCAATTCTGCACCTTCACCTTCGAGGTGACCCAAAGCTCGTCACGGGGAACTCCACTCTGGCGGATAGCCTCGACCAAACTCCGCCAGAAAGACCCCCGCGTTTGTTGTTTCTTTCCACAGGGCGCATCAGGGCGTATCAGCAAATAGAAAAAACCCAGGGGGTTCCAAGAAAGTTGAACCCCTGGGTTGGAGTTTTTAGGATGTTTGTCAGCAAAGGCGAATGGGCAGAGACGTGGCCATGGGTCCCATGTTTGTTCCCGTCCTGACGTTAACGTCAAGAAAGTACGCAGTGTGGCCATTCCGATGGTAGGTGCTCAGGACTGTCAGCAAGTGTGCCATTTGCAAAGCCCCGCTGAAGATGTGCCAAGATGTGCCAAGGTCACGCCAAAGCTTAACACTAAAGCACGGTCCAAGAAAACATTGTCCTCTCTGGAACACCAAATCAACCACGTATCTACAAATAAGTGGTGCTGATCGAACAGTTGTGGCCTTAACCGTTTTCACACCTCTAATAATGTCCATGTCATGCCATATCTTATCTTCCTTCATCTCATGCTGATTCTATGACAAGGGGGGGGCCAAGCATATCTGCCATCACCGAGAGGGATGACTGCAGCACAAGCATTTCTCACCTGCCCACAGCCCCGCCCTCGCCGATCAGAATGAGATGCCTCAGCAATGTCCAGGTGGTTGCCATAGACCTGCGCTGTGTCAATCAGCCTGGCAGCAAGAGGCGCCGTCACGATGCTACGTGCGAGCAATCAGAATCCCGGCTACGAAATGATTGAAGCTTGCCACATGAGACTGATGTTTGGTTGATGCACATCAAAACTCCGATCTGCAAGACGTAGCTGCAACGCCTTATCAGTTGTCGGCCGAACAACCCAATCGAATATTCAATATTCAATCAGTGCAGTGCAAGAGTGTCCAAACAAATACTTGCCACCTGGATTCGGGGTCCCCAAACACTAACATAGAAGGTGACCCCCTTGACACTACCTTGACACAATAATCTTATTAGGGACCATTAGGTTCACCAATATTATTATAAAGATTTTCCCTTTGATTCGGGGCGTCGAATTGAACCGGGGCGTCGTTGCGAGGCAGTAACAGGGGTGTATTTCAAAGGCATTTGACAGGTGTAAGGACTGGGTCAAACTTCCAAAAACATGGACTGTTGGAGGGGGTAGTTTGCTCACCTCAAGCCACACGCGACCACCTTCACGTACCCGTTGTAAGCCCTGGGAGTACCCATTTTAAACCTTAAGGGTGCCTGAGTCTGTTGCGGGTACTCCGCCCGACGCCCGCTGCGCTACGGGGGCATCCATCGCGGCCAGGTCCTCGGCTGGTGCTTTCCGCACGAGTCTCTCCATCGGAAGAGTTTTAACGTTTGGCCCATTGAAGGGCTTACCTTCAGGAAAAAAACGCTCAGAAGGGAAACTCGCGTTGGCAACTTACGCAGCTTATGTGTTTAAAAGATACGCTTCTAAACCTCACGTTTTAGCAGAACATGAGCTACCAGTAAACAGGTTCGTACTAGGGCTACGCGTTGGAGTTGACTTGGGTGAAAGACACGAGAAACGAAGGTGGCCATGCTTGTAAGAAACATAAGTACAAGTAAAAGGCGAGAGAATGATAACCCGGTCCAAACGGATCTTTGCACATCTTCAATACTGTGTAAAGGAGCTTGGAAAGGTCCTGAGGCTCATCACGAACGGGCATGATTTTAGATAAGTGACTGACCCAACGAGATTCACCAGAAACGCAGTGGCCAAGCATGTGTAAGCTAAATTGCCCACACCCATTTCTGATAGACTTAGGGTTGAGTACGGGGCGAACTTGTTACACGTCGAAATTTGTGACGGTTCGCCGCGATACGTTTTCTGATGAACCTCGATGAGGTTCATCTGGCAATCTGGAACGGAAATGACTTGGGATCAACTGTCCAGGACACACCCGCTTAGGAGGGCTTTCCTGTTTTGACACATTCCCATCTCTGATATATAGACTTAGGGTTGAAAACGGGGCGGACCTGTTATACTTCGAAATTTGTAACGGTCCGCCGCGACAGTTGTCCCACAATTTCTGACTTCTCCACAGCAACGCTTTTGAGATGAGCCTCAGTGAGCCTCATCTGAAACCCATGCGGCAATCCCGGACAGTTGATCCCAAGTCATTTCCGTTCCAGATTTCCAGATGAACCTCATCGAGGTTCATCAGAAAACGTATCGCGGCGAACCGTCACAAATTTCGACGTGTAACAAGTTCGCCCCGTACTCAACCCTAAGTCTATCAGAAATGGGTGTGGGCAATTTAGCTTACACATGCTTGGCCACTGCGTTTCTGGTGAATCTCGGTGGGTCAGTCACTTATCTAAAATCATGCCTGTTCGTGATGAGCCTCAGGACCTTTCCAAGCTCCTTTACACAGTATTGAAGATGTGCAAAGATCCGGTTGGACCGGGTTATCATTCTCTCGCCTTTTACTTGTACTTATGTTTCTTACAAGCATGGCCACCTTCGTTTCTCGAGTCTTTCACCCAAGTCAACTCCAACGCGTAGCCCTAGTACGAACCTGTTTACTGGTAGCTCATGTTCTGCTAAAACGTGAGGTTTAGAAGCGTATGTTTTAAACACATAAGCTGCGTAAGTTGCCAACGCGAGTTTCCCTTCTGAGCGTTTTTTTTTTCCTAAAGGTAAGCCCTTCAATGGGCCAAACATTAAAACTCTTCCGATGGAGAGACTCGTGCGGAAAGCACCAGCCGAGGCCCTGGCCGGACCGCGATGGATGCCCCCGTAGCGCAGCGGGCGTCGGGCGGAGCTCCCAGGGTTTACAACGGGTACGTGAAGGTGGCCGCGTGTGGCTTGGGGTGAGCAAACTACCCCCTCCAACAGTCCATGTTTTTGGAAGTTTGACCCAGTCCTTACACCTGTGAAATGCCTTTGAAATAAATCCCTGTTACTGCCTCGCAACGACGCCCCGATTCAATTCGACGCCCCGAATCAAAGAAAAATCTTTCAATCCATATCCACCCATCTGGCTCGTTCATAATGATTCAGTGAAGCAGCACAGGGTTCCTTACATTCTCCTGAACGTTGCCCTCAAAATGGAGGAATGTTTAAATGGCCCAAATGTGTATCGTTCGAGAAGGAACATGGGCAGGTGGGCGCCTTCCCCCAGCTGCCAAGTAGGCCTTGACCCCTTGAATCAGCGGCTCCCCGCGGCTGGTGGGGCGACAGCAGGTGCCGTACCCGATCCGTGGCATGAGCTTCTCAGAGCCTGCCTTGGCGTGTCGCACCTATGATGAAACTTTGGGTATCTGTCAAGGTGGCCCCAAAAATTGTGGTTTCCCTTTAAACCAGGGTGAACAGGGCACCCCCAAACCAAGCACACAGCCATGTGGGGCATGCATGCCCAACTGGGTCTCAGGCTTCCATTTGATTTCCCTTTCATGTAAACCCAAAAAGGGCAACAACAAGACACATCCAAATGAGCCACGGAGATAGATTCGAGAAAAGGGTTGCGCAAATTGGTACAAACCTCACCACACAAAGATTTGGCTCGCCCTGTGTCCATGTTGCGCCACTCGCAGCCTAGGAGCCACTCGCAGCCCCTCAGCTCTGACCTCCGACGGGCCCAGTGGGCCAAAAAGCAGCGGCGCCAGCGCCAGCGAGCGACGAAGGCAGCTTGGGATCTCCTGCCAAGCGATTTGGACAATAACCCTTTAAGCATATGAGCATGTGCCAAAATTCGAGGACCCCAATGGGCGTCCCTTTTGGTTGCCTTTAAACCAACCTGTACGCGTGCCCTCAAAAAAAAATCACATACCTCAGAGGGCAGTGTTTTTGTTTTTTTGCGGTATGATGGTATCCTTTCTCAGATTTGTTAAGAGGGAAAATGGAAAGGAAGAACCACTGTTCTTTTGGTTCCCAATGTTGAGACGAGTCCACATTGTGATGCGGGCAAAAACCGCTACATCCAGCTCTTCAAGCGCTTTCCCCGCCAAAAAATGTTCAACCAAAGGGGCATATGTTGGACGAGGCCAATGCTGCCATCCAGCTGTTCAAGTGAGGTTCTATCCCATCTCCCGAACACTGTTGGTGCAGAACTGGGGCCCATCGTAAGTCCAATACAGACTCGTTCGCAGGCGGGGGCTGCCGGCAGCCCAAAACGATCCCTTTTGGACCAGTGAGGTCTGTCCGTTGCAATGAACAACTAGACTGTCCATTTGCCACAAACAGCATCTGTTGCCTCTTCACATGCATCAACAATCTTGGGTGGGACCAGTGACCCTCCTGGCAAAGGCTGCGTGTATGAAGTAAACAAGTGATATTGCGTGCATTATGTATGTACGTATGTATAGAGATATAGATATAATAGCTATACACATTATTGTGTATCCACACTGCGTGTGTGTGTGTGTGTGTGTGTGTTGCGACCATTGAAATATCCGCAAATTTAAGGAGCGCTTTGCCAGCAGCGGCTCAGTGGCTGACCTTTTCCAAGCCGTTGCTCCTCTCTGCCTCTCGCAGCCATCTTGTGCTCAAGGGGCGTGGAAAACGACCAGTTGAGCACGCCCTCAGACCAAGGCACAACAGCAACTCAAAATGGATCATGTGGACGTCAACAGAGGGTGATGAAAAACCAAAGAACAATGCCCACAATTGTGTATAGCACCAAAGCCCCAAACATATAGATGTAGCAATGCCTTCTCCTTCTGCTTGCAGGCATGCTGCAAGCGAGACCTTGCACTTGTCATATTGCAAATATCTACGGCCCAGAACCAAAGCGTACATTTCCGCCATCAAATGGCTTGCCTGGGTATAGCCATGGAAGGAAGTTGTACCTGACGCCGCCACCCTGTCAAGAAAATATAATCCCAACTGCCACACATGTAGTAGCTTCTGCAACTTTTGAAGGGTACTGCCTGAAAGCCGCTTTCCGCACAATGGATGGGCTTCGTGGCAGCCGAAGCACGGCCAAGGGCAGCAATACGGCACATCGCAGTACAGACGAGCGCATGGCAGGCGCCATTACTGAGGAAGGTGCGCTCCTGAAGCTTGGGTTTATGCCTTCAGAAAGGCGACCCGTAACGAGCCTGACGAGGGAAAAGTTAACTTGTGCCTGCTGCAGAGTTTCTTGTAGGTGCCTTTTAAACTTCAGCTCACCAAAGGAAAACTCATCTTCAAATGGCACAAAAGGTCCTGTTTGAAGCACGAAAGAAGTGCATACAAAAACACCTGCGTTTTGGCTCTTTCACTGGTACCATCTCGGAAGGGCTCTTCGCTAAAACTCTGCCAAATGTGCTCAAGCGGCATGGATCTAAGTGCAACCAGGGATTGCATCACAAGCGTGGAACACGACGAAACATGAGGTGCCGGAAAGGGCAAGTCAAAGGCACTTCTTTTCCTTGGTCAGTGCAACCAAAGAACTTGGAATGCTAAAAAGGGACCACATTCAGAAACTTAGCTCCTCCGAGTTGTACCAAAACCCAACACCACCGCAATAGCTGTCTTGCAGAGATGTTGCTATATGCAACATACAGAGCTCCACACAAAAGCATAGCAAGAAACCCAACAAACCCTTCCTTGCCGCAACACCTCAGCCAATAGCAGCCAATCCATCTTTGGTGACTTCGCTGCTGGCTGTTCGCTCGTCCAGCCTTGGACGCCGCACAAAGGGCAAAAAAGAAGCGAAGTCATTGGCATCAGCACCACCAACAGGTGAATGACCTGTTCCTCCGCACCCCGAACAAGCAGGCTTTCCGGCCACTGAAGAAATGATGTGCCGCATGCAAGCCCAGCCTACAGATTCTGCACGGGTAAATAGACACACACACACACATACATACATACATACGCCCAGGCCATTGAAGCCACGGCTGAGATGAAAACGCAAAAGCTGAATTCATGTTCCCTGGCACGGATGCTAGTGGGCCTGAACTGCACTTCTGGAGGGCTTTGGTTTCCAGACTGAGCAGCTGATGCAACTCCTGCGCATGCTGCACAGAAGCTGAAGCTTTCGACGACCTCAGCAGGTCACCGATGCAACAAAGGCACTGTCACGTGAACTCAACTACCTTTTATTCTCAGCGGCCACTGAGAATCTAGTCCAGTAAGTCTGCTTGCCCTGAAATAGGCACTCCTTCCAGCAAACCACCGTATTTCACAAGCCTTGCATGCAGCATTCACTGCATCCTATGGTTTGAATGCTGGCTCGCGCAGTTTCAAACTGAGCATACTGGAGTTGCCCCGCAAAAGCCATCCCTCAGCTTCAAGCCGCAAATGGGGACATCATGTCTTGTACCTGTACAAGTCGGATCTTCACTCCCGTCTAAGCTTCCGCCAGCTCCCTTTCTTGAGAATGAATGTATCAAATTGCGTTGAAAGCACGACAAACTCTCCCAAAAGCTTCCAAGACTGTGCCTGGCAGAATGCTGAATCACACAGCCATCATGACAAGGACTTGAATCCAAGCCACCTTGCCGCTTCCTTTGGTCTTGGTCTTGAATCATCAGCTGAGGGTGCTGGCCGCACCGCGCGTCTGACCTCAGACCTCGGACAGTGCGCAGTTGGCCTTGCACCTCCCGGCACCCCGGCCTATCCGATACCCCGCCTTTCCCGGGTCCATCCCCGCCTGACCTCTCACGATCCCTTTACCAAAACTCAAGCATCGGCGATGCTTGGAAGAAGGACAGATCATGGAAACAATCTTCAACCAAACAACTCGGCCTCAAGCGAGAAATCTGACACAAACAGCTGCATTTGCCATTCAAGTCGATGCAATAGGAAACCACCCCAAGAATTTTAAGTCGATCATCCCTCTGGTCACCATGCCATATACTTTGCTGAGCAAGACTGAAGATTTGTGTCTGCCCCTGCAGTCTCCCACTCGGAGATGCCTGAAAGAGACCTCCAAGTGACAGCTTGCCAGCATCAGCTTCAGGAGAGCTACTTTTAAGCTGGCATGTCTGCATCATACCCACCCAGAAGCAAAACACAAATTGGCAGATCCCACACACACACACATACTCCTAGCTGAATCCGCCGAGGTGCGTCGAAAGATTATGGAAGCAGTCTCTTGACGCAAAGTTCGATGTCCGTCCTGCAAGCCAGGACTCTTGCAAGTTCACAGTTTATATCACCCCGCCCGAGCGAAAGGTTCGGAGTTCTGAAAGGTGTTGCACTGAGTACGATCCAATACGTGTAAACAACAAAACACAAACAAGATGTCAAAGCAATGCTGTCACTTGCCTGAAAACAACGATCACAAAGCAGGAGATCAAGCATCCAACGGAAACTATGCAGTCAGAAAAGCCACATCTGTCCTATCCAGAAAGCTCGTTTGAAAGAAGTTGCATTTCCATCAAGTGCTACGGTAGCTTCACAGACTTTCCGTGATTCTGCTGGCAACAACTCGATGTTTTGGATCGCCGGACCGCAGTTTGCTCAGAGCTGCTTCGCATGGACATGCAGTCCTTGTGCCCTTTGGGAAAGCCTCGAAGGGGATACACGGCGCCAAGCCCTGCGTTGGCACGAGGTGCTGAACACGTCCTGCCACAAGGAGCCCCAAGAGATATTCGACTGGCAAAGGCGGTAGGACAAATCAAACCAAGTTGGTCAATGTTGGCTTTGTCAAACACAATTGGCCAAATCACCAAGATAGATGCACCTCAAGCAGATGTATCTCAATTCTGGCGGCCGCTTCAGTGACGTAGCAAATGCCTACGCCGGCACCTACGCCATGCGCAAATACCATGCGGGGGGACAGCCTACATGAGGTGTATGTCGGTCTTAAAGTTTAAGCGCCTACACGCGCCTACGCGGCTGGAGTTTTGCTCTGCAAGTGCCTACGCGGTGTGTACTTCGTGCCAAAACTTGTACGCACGCGCCTACAGGCAAAGTGTCAAGTCGAGCAGAAGCTCCCCAGCCAACTGTCAAAAAATGGTTATGCGCTGCAACAATATGCCTGCGCGGGGTCTGATGTGTCCACTCTCCTTTTGTCCCTTTACTATCGCACAAAAAACTCCGCTCAGAATGGAGGGTCGGCCAATCCGATGTTCAAGGATCTCTGATTGAACACCATTACAAAGGAGACCCTTTGTCTGAAGGATTGAGGATAGCTTTTTGAACAGCCCACTAGCCAGTCACAACATGTTCGCAAGCCTCGAGGCGATCACAGCGGCATGTCGTGCAGAAGGTGCATGGCATACAGGAGCTGATCTGGCCAGGGAAAGTGCTCACCATCGTTAGAGAGGGTGCGTTAGCAGTCAGCGAGCCTCCAGTCACGTCCTCTTACCAGCTGCAAGTAACTCTGCAAGTGACCCTGCAAGGCTTTGCTTTCGACACTCTCCCTTTGCACTGATGGTTTACAAAACAAAGCAGGTTCAGAGTGGGAGCAATCTGAATGATGATGACTATGATGATGATGATGATGATGAGGATGAGGATGAGGATGAGGATGATGATGATGATGATGATGATGATGATGATGATGATGATGATGATGATGATGATGATGATGATGATGGATGATGATGATAATGATGATGATGATGATGGTGATGATGATGATGATGATCATGATGACGATGATGACCCTCATCTGATCGCCGTTCTCCCAAGCCTTCTGAGCAATGCCGGACATCTGTAAGGCACGATGCCCTGAACAATTTGGCTTCCGAGTGGAGCAAACGTTAGCGAGCGAGCTTGTCAGCAGGTGTGCTCCGCATTGGACAACACAAGTCTGCAATGATTGCTTCTCATGGAGCAAACAAGGAACAGCTCACTGTTGACTTACAATGATGCAAACAAACAACAATATCAAAACGTCCAGCCAGCCAAAGGATTGTCACTTCAAATCTGGCATATGCAGAAAAGCTTCTATGCAAAGCCGTCACATGAAACGTGGATGTGGGCACCCGACCAGCAAAAACCGGACGTGTATTAAGCAGGATTTCCGGTTACAATCATCAAGCTGTTCTAGCTCCATGAATTTTGCTTGTCCAATTCCCTTAGTTTCTTGCGCCAGGGAGGTAATGAGAGATTGTTTCATCTCATGTACCATGGCCCACATGGGAGATCATTCTTCACGCTGACTCAGTGCCGTTCCGAGCTCCCCCATGCTACGGACTCTTCCCTTCTGATGCAGTCAATTCGGTCCCAGCCTGTCCGAACCTGGCCGCGACTGGCTCAATCTGTTGGAGGGTACATTCGCCTAACAGAACAAGTTGCGCTGAGAATCCAATGCTTCCTCGTTCGCCGAAACTGCGCTGATCCGTGTTGTGCTCGTCTGTCATCACAAAACCGGCCAACAATGCGTCCAGCCAGCTGTGATCTCAGGTGGTTGGCTGCTGCCAGGGAAGAGCTCAGCATTGCAGAGCGGAAATCTTCTGGAAAACAAACAAACAACAAACATCGAGCTCAAATCTCTCAACAAGGTCAACTGCTTGGGCACATATGCGGAAGCAGCACAAACGATGTGAAAATATGGTTGGACTTCGGTCGAGGTTTGTGTTGGTTTACATTTGTGCTGTCTGAAAGCCATTTTATCCATGTTGGTTGCATATGCACGAGCTTTGGAGAGTCGAGGCGCTGCACATGCGATTGATCTGATCACACCTCGGTCAAATGCATTCAGCTCATGTCCAAGGATCAACTCGGTTCAAATGTTCACGAAGGGATCTTGCAATCCTGTTGTCAACCGGCCAGAAGGTTGGTTGCACAAATGCAATGCAAGGAATGGCTTCTAAACCGATCCAGTCCTTTCTGAATGCCCCACTGGCCAATCCTCTCTTCGGCTATCTCCAGAAAGCCACTATCACCCCATAATTGCTCGATACATTGGAACACATTGGTCAATTCGCTCGCTTCCCAGGAGCCGTGGCAGTACTGAACTAACTACTTTCCAAAAAACCGCCAGCGAAGCATGAACACCTGGTGAATATCCGGGTGTTACAAATTGGATCTGGAAAACTTAAACAATTACCCCACTCCACTTTCTCTTCCTTTGAGAAGATCAAGAATAGGCCCTTGGAAGCCTTGCGTTTTGCCTGGCTTGCTAGGATTCAGCAGTCCCCGCCTGGTGCTAGGACCGCCTCCTGCAGTTTCCTGGCCCAGCCGACTGCACCAAACGCGGGAGGCGCTGAATTGTTTAACCAAAGCGCTGCGCGATTCTACTGCAAGCCTCCTGATGAGCGGAGGCTTTTAAACTCCAAGCCGGAAGAGTATCCAAACTCACCCATTCACGCCAAGCAAAGCCACTTGTCCAGGTCACCATCCGAAGGAAAATGTTTCGTGCCAACATGCGCTTCTGGGGTCCGGGCTTCAAGCCAAAGTGCAGAAGAAATAGCACTTGAGCAATACCAGTTGAGTTTGTTCATACAAATGTTGGATACAAATGCTTTACCCGTGTAGAGAGTCTATCTGGCTGACTTTTCGGGGCAAACCAAACAGGCAGACCATGATTCAATGATTCCACCAAACAAAGCAAGCGCATTGTCAAAACGCCCACTCCACAAGCAAGAGGTACCCCACGTTTTCACCTGAGCCCACCTCCCGAAGCGGAGGGAGCTCCTGGCGCGCCAGGAGGTGGCGGAAGCCTCTGCACAGCAGGCCTCCTCGGTGAGCTCGCCTTCGGAGTCCTCGCCGCCGAACCCGATGGGTTTTCTCGACTCTCTTGTTGTAGGCGAGCCGACCTGCCTAAGAAATAACCCAAGGGAAGCCATGGGAAAATGCCAAGTAATGAGTCAGAATCAAAACCCATCGGCATCGGGGAAAAAAAGTCTAATGTAAAGAATTGAAAAGGCGGCGAAGGCAACCGATTGTGGGATTATCCCTGGCTAAAAAGTCATCTACCCAGATTTGAGTGTGGCTCAGCTGGGATGTTTTTTTTCCGGTTTTTTTTTTTTTTTTTTTTTTTTTTTTTTTTTTTTTTTTTTTTTTTTTTTTTTTTTTTTTTTTTTTTTTTTTTTTTTTCGGGTTTCATCCACTGCGAAGTGAGTTTTGTCCAATTTGCTTCGCCTTGAAACACTGGGCAGATGTTCTTAGGAGACCTTCACGAAGCTTGTTTTTCCCTGAGAGCTTCATATAGTTTTGGCAAGCATCAAAATACTTAAGATAAGCTAAATGAAAATGGCCCTGAGAGGCGATGTTTAAGCCAAGGAAGGAAAAGTGGGGAGAATCCTGTGGGTCCCTGGCTCGATTAGTCGACTAGTGGGCTGATAGCTTGCCAGTTAGGTGGTGGGCAAGTGGATTGGTGGGATGGCTTGGCTCGCAAGGTGCATCGTGCGAACCTTGGAGCATCCTCTGTCCGCATGGTTGTGGTGCGGCGTCTTGCCGGAAGCTTCAAAATTCCCTGCCGTTCGTGGGATTAGTCATGGCACTGTGGTTAACGCAATACACAAGTGCTACATGCGAGGCATCCAAGTACTTACTTCTCCTCCCAAGTCGCGGCAACCTTTGCAAGTTCTAAAGCATGCAAAGGAAGAAAGTTGTTTCACCTCGGCTCTGGTAAAGGAGAAAGCGGACCAATTTACAAACCGCATTTTAACTGGCCTGCCCAGTGGATCGAATTTGCGGTTGTGTTAAGTTCAAATTATGTTAGAGCAAAACAATGTGATCCGCGAGCTGCATGTCCGTTACCACCGAAACCTCTGCAGGAAAGGTTGCGCTCACCGTCCAGAAAACCCTTGTGTCCTGGTGGTGTATTCCCTCCGCCCGCAAAACCTCTCATTTCCCGCATCAGGCCAGCAGGTTGTGTCCTTCAGGCCGCTACAATGTGCCGCCAATGGATCTCCGCAATCCGGAGAAGGCAATTCCGGCAAGGAAAACTCCACCTGGTGCGTCAGCGGCAATCTTCACAACATCGCCAGTGCCTCACCCAAATGCACCCTGTGGTCAAAGTCTTTTTCTGTGGACCATGGTCATGGTCCTTCTAGCCGGAATCTCCACACTGGTTTGTGAAAGGGCAAATGATCGGCCCTAGAAACCGAAAATGAGCACGTCTCTTGACCATGGCACGTATGGAATCATTGAATCATTTCAGGACTAGATCATGCTCGGCCCCTAAGAAGACAAGCAATAAAGGATTGGATCTACGTTTTTTTCCTGGGATGCTGGAAGGGGCAATAAGGTCATGCATACCAACCCAGGCGAACTGACCCACGAGATCCTTCCCGTTGCCCTTGCCTCGCTCGGGGCAGCTGCTTTTGGAGTTGCAAGCGCCTAGCGTCGGATGCTGAGAGAGCTCAGCTGTGCATGGAGCCGTGTTTCGCAACATCGCCTGTCAACCGTTAATCAGGAGACCCCCGAAATCGGCCCCAACCCCTTCATGAAGAAGCTCTCTGAGATGGACCTTCCAGAGTTCCATAGAAGGCAGGTCTATGACTGATGGGACCGCCCAGGGGGGCGCGGTCAAGCGCCCCTCAACAACCAGGAAATTCAAACCGAACATAAACGGGTGATGGTATAAAGGTTGGATCGCCTTCAGATTGAGTAGGATTGGCTTGGCGGGTTTCGGGGCATCCGGATAGACAAGAATAAGCTTCGAGCGCGGTTGAAGAGAAATCAAAAGGAGAACCGCCAATCTTTGGAGGGCTCCCCTAGTTTGGCACGGACCCCCTTTCAAAACGCGAGTCCTCTCTGAGCGCACCTGCAGCGCCCCGCTCCAAAAGTCCAAGTCCTCCTGGGCGCTACGAGGATCAACGCCTCTTCTAGCCAGGAAACGGCCATGGAGTGAGACCGACGGACCCATGGTTGGAAACCTCAAGCTGGGCATAGCAACCTGTTAAAAGTCGACTCTCAGCCCAGTCGGCCTATCGCAGGCAAACAAAACGCTCCTTGAGCAGCATGGCATTCCAAGTCTTCATCTGTGCACTGATCTTCTCCAGGGCAAAGCAATCCAGGGACGCGAGCTGGTAGACCAAATCCTGGCCAGGGCAAAACCATTGGGGTCGAACAAAACAAATCACACAGCTGACATCGGCTTCCGATTCCAGGTAGGCGATAACCAAGTTTGTCGCAGTGCCTCTCCCCATCTCTCTCTCTCTCTCTCTTTTTCTCTCTCTCTCTCTCTCTCTTTCTCTCTTTTTTTTTCTCTCTCTCTCTCTCTCTCTCTGAGAGCGTTCTTGTTGCAGAATTCCACATGTGTCTACTTTCCTGAACCAAAAAAAAGACAGCATTGGAGGAATCTCCTTTCGCGAGACCTGCTTGGTGGGTACAACATGTTAATTTGCAGAGCGGCACCATGTCTCTGCGCCGAGTGTCCACGGCACTTCTGAACCGCTGCACGTGTGGATGGCCTTAGGAGGGCTGTTTGGGCTGCCAAACTTCTGAGAGCGTTGCAGGAAAAATTAGCAGGGCACCGTCGTGAGCCTGTGAATGTCCCTCAGGTCTCGATAGTTTGGGAAAATGCTAATGGCAGGCTGTTGGCACTGGAGCAAATAACAAATTTATTCCAAGCTGGCACAGCATACGAAAAGAAACTGGCACGGCAGCCCAATAAACACTCGCAGGATTCTGTGAAGGGCATGCTTACAGGACATATATGTCGGTTGTGCTTTTATTGAGCACCGCTACATCCGTGTCATGGACCCACCCAATGTTCAGCGCCATAGCAGATCTTAACCACTTAGGCCATGTCTCAATGTCCGGTGAAATCGGCAGCATGTTGGATCCAAGAGTCGGAAGAACGAGGATTGCGGCAGTCGATGTGATACACGCACCTTGGAGAATGTCCACTCGAGGACCTGCCTCCCACACTGGTGCCATGTGAGCTGACCATGTGAGCTGATGCCATCCCAAAGGGCTGAAGTCTGAATGTGCCACTTGAAGAGTTTGACCCAGCCAAGCTGCACTTGTGCAAAAGATGCGCCCCAATTCCCAGCGGCCGCAGCCCCAAAGCGGATGTCTGGCAGAGATAGACTCCTGCTGCTCAGCACGAGGTTGTCCAATGGCGTGAATGCACGTGAATTACGCAAAACTTCAATCCCTACTCTCTCCGCAAACTCCAGGCAGTCTGAAGCCGTGCGCTTGCTCAGCTTGAGGGAGTGGGGGGGGCAGGGGTTGGAAGCAATGTGGGAGTCTCGCAGTCCCTGCCTGCAGATGCAGATCGGGCATGAAAAGAGGTATCTCCATGGTAATGAGGTCTTTGAAGGTCCTGGGTTCAAAAAAGCAACACAGCTGCAGTACTCGCATGAATCTTCAACTTGTTTCTTGGTTCATCCTTCAGTTCAGTCAGACTCCACTCAGACTTTCAGCCAAAAAGCATAAGCAAGTTACACAGCGGCCAGCCTTACGTAGTCACAAGGGCAAGTCCCTTGTGGAGTTGATTCCCGTTGTTGGGTTCGCTTCAATCAGAAGCCAAGGGGCAAAGCACCTAGTTTGGGGTTCCTCATTCACCAGCAAAACCACATCTGCCAACCGAGCATCAGCTTGCCATACCACACCGCCGGGACGAAAACTGCCGCGCGGTGCGCTGCCAAACGTTGGTAGCTCAGGCGCTCGCGGCTGTAAGGTAGCAGCCGCAAGCGCCAAGGTGTAGCCTCAATGCCCAGATTTGACGCTTGTCCTGCCCAAACTTCCGCTGGTTGTGAGTTGCTAGTTTGGCCTGATTTGGTCAAAGTGTTTGAAGAAAATTGTAAAACCCCTTTGGAACTAGTCCGCATGGATGTTTGATACTGCTTGAAGAAAGCAAGCACGAGAAAGGGTGTTGGTGGATCAAGTCGTACAGTACACTATTTACAACAGAATATCATGTTCCCGCTCTGTTAACCATAGGATCGGGACCCAAAGGCCCAACAGAACGCAAGGAACAAAAAACAAAGAAACCGTTGATCCAAACTACACATCCAATCTGAAACAGCACCACAACGAGCAAACTTTAATCAATGAGCAACGCCCAGAACTTCAATATGGTTTTGCAACAACAGCCCTCACATTGCAGTCGCGGAGCCGAGTTCCAGCCGGAGCTTGGCACCATTTGGGCCAGCAAACCGAAGAAAAGGTGTCCATGAACTGTGGGCGCAAAACGGCCTGCCGACAAGACTGTCGCTTTGGCTCATTGGAGTACTCAACGAGACCTAAATAACGTAGTATAAATTCTGGCCCAAGTCATGTGCGCCTAAGGACCCTTCGCGCATGACGACGACATCTGCAGCATCATGGCACCTTCGAAACGGCCACTCACAAGCGCAAGGCTGAACGTGAAAAATCACGCCACCATGATCACTGGGCAACCAGGCTCTGAATGGCGATCGTTGATGTACAGGGACGGCAACCACACGAAGGGATGGAAGTTCGGGAGTTCCTGGCGCGAAATGTATTTCGCCTTGTTTGTCATTGCAGTACAATGTCAAATGTCGTAAGCTCTTGAGCCCCAACTCTTTCTGGAAAAATCATTGTGCGGCAAATGTTGCGCAACTGGGATTGTGGCAGTTTGGCCTGCACAAATGCAGCAACCCTTCGAAAAACAGGGTTAACACCCTGCGTGTGTTTTTGTGTTTGTTTGTTTCCCCTTGCCCAGCTTTCCTGAAGAAAAGGGACCCACACAAAAGCAATCGCAAAAAAAGATGGACCCTAAGATGACAACCACGATGACAACCGACGGTGATAGCGCCAACTTCACCGCCCCACCACCCACAACCACACAACCACCCACAACCACTCACCATGGCCACCCGCAAGCACCCGCCAACCCACACCACCACCCCACGCACCACAAGAAGAAAAACAAGAACAAGCACAACAACCAGAACCACGACAACCGCAACAACGCCACGACGCGACGCAGCCCCAACGACTACTACGACCACCAAAACCACCACCACAACCACAACCACAACCACAACCACAACCACAACCACAACCACACCCACACCCACGCCCGCAACCACACCCACACCCACAACCACAACCACAACAACAACAACAACAACAACAACAACAACAACAACAACAACAACAACAACAGCAACAACAGCAACAACAACAACAACAGCAACAACAGCAACAACAGCAACAACAGCAACAACAGCAACAACAGCAACAACAACAAACAACAACAAACAACAAACAACAAACAACAAACAACAAACAACAAACAACAAACAGCAAAAAAACAACAACAAACAACAACAAACAACAACAAACAACAAACAAAAAATATGACAAGTATTTATGATATATTATATGACAAGTATTGAGGTAGTTGATGTTAATAATGAAACTAAAACAGAAGAAGCACCTATTAATAATGAAGTTGTTAAACAAAATGAAACAGTTAATGAAGAACCAACACCAGAAGAAGTTAAACCAGAAGAAGTCATTCCTGAACCAAAAGCGAAAGCAAAAGCATTACCAAGAACTAAAATAGAAGTTGAATTAGTTCAATGCGAACATTGCTCTAAAAAGATGACATTGAAAAGTCTGAGACACTCACATCCCAAAAATTGTAAGGGAGCACCTACTGAGTTATTACCAGTCAATCCACAAAAGAATATTAGAAAGATAAAACCAGAAGTAAAAGAAGAAATTAAGAATGAGACTAAACAAGAAGTGATTAAAGAAACTATTAAGAAATCCACGGCAACAGAATTATTAAGCCAACATTATGAAGAACTTAAACAACAGAAAAAACAAGATAAACAAGAAAAAATGAACAAATTATCTTCATCAATGTTTTAAATAATAATCTAATTATATTATATATTCATCATGCTTATGAGAAGTCATAGAAATGTAGAATTTAAAAGGGCGCCACAAGTAGAACGTCATTATGATGTTTCAGATTTATGGGGAGTTGCTTCAAGAATGAATTATTTTAAACAGTTGAAAGATACACTGGAAGCGAGACAATCACAGGGAGCATTAATAAAGTATAGAAATGGTTTAGCTGAAAGCAACAGAACCGAAAGTTACAGAAAGGAATTAGACAGAATAAGAACAATATTAGACAACACACGGTCACCAGACGGAATACAAACAAAGGAACAACTAACTGTAAGAAAGAAGCATTTAGAAGAAATGATTAAGAATATCTCTGATTAATTTATTTTTCTAAATAATTAATATACTATGATTAAATCAATGAATAGATTGAATACAGTAGGACCGGTAAAAGTAGGTTCATTAAAATCACAATTACATTTGAGACCTTCTTATGATGAATTGTGAATGGAACGTTGGTAGGTGATGAGAACCGTCCATCAATTGAAAATGTGATGGACAGAAAAGCGACAAGATACAGATTAAACCAATACGGTAGTCAGTTTGATAATAAAGGAGCCTTAGACATTCAAAAGAAACAAGAACTAAACCGAAGAGGACAAGTTATGAAAGGAGCAATGTCGGACGCTGACAGTGTAAGAGCTAAACTTAATGACGAACTGAAACTTGCTGACACACTGAAACAACACCAGTCTTTCATTCAAGAAGGATTGGCGGAAACAAACAAACAGAAAGAAGAATTGGCTTAAAAAAGGAGACTTTGGAGAGAACAACACGAAGAAATGGCAACTGCTGTTTCGAAGAGTTCATATCCTGCCAGTGTAGAAGTTCATTCAATGGTGTCCGCTAATGAAATGTCAGAATTAGAACCATTAGAGGAAGGGGAAGAAGAAGATGAACGAGAAGACGACCCAGTTGTTGAAGTAGAAGCAATGAAAAAAGGTAAAGATGATGACGATGACGCGCAAACAACCGTTACTAATGCTGAGATAATGGAAATGCATGAAAAAGCAAGCGAGTTGGAATTACAAAATGTCGAAAACGAAGAAGTTGATGACGAACGAATTTTCAAAAATTATTTAACTACTATAAAATGGATGTGGCCGGTGTATTTCTCGAAAACCCCGGGAACTATGATGGATAATATAATTTCAAAACTACATCAATTTAATGTAATAAATGCTGATAAATACGATGAGTTCAAAGAATTATTAGATGAATATGACAATGCAAACACAACAGAAAGAAAAGGAATTCGTGCTCGGTTAGAAACATATTACAAGGACAACGTGTATAACAAATACTTGAAACAGAAACCAAGTTCATCAACTCAACAATAAAAAAATCTATAATATTTAAATATGACTGAAATGTATTATGGATTAAGAAGAAGGAAAACTTTTGATGAAATGCTAAGGGAAGCGATGACGCACAGATTAAAAATTGAAATCATCCCCGAAAGACGGGCATTTGACACATCAATCAACGATATGGACTTTGACGATTTTGACCTTTCAAAATACGATAGGAGACTACGGTTGAATGCTAGGGTTCAAACTGATAAACAAGTTGTATTGCACGAATTGACGCCAGAAATGTTTGATGAAATACCGCCAACATCACAGTTGTATGAAAACAATGAGGCAGACACACAAACAACACGATATGTAGCAAAAGATTTTGCTGATGAAAATTATAGTAATGCAATTTCAGGCAGGACTGAAGAAAAGAAAAAGTCAGATGAACCAAAAGATGAAAAGCAGGAAGATTTACAAAGTCTTCATTTAACGTCATCATCGTCATCAGCATCAACCGAAAAAGATAAGAAAGAGGAAAGTCGAGAAATAAAGTCATTAAGAAACGTATTCTTAGGTGGAGAAGACAAGAGCGTATTTGAACTATTCCAACGAGGTAAGAAGTCATCCACTCCATCAGAACAATCAAGAGAACAGGAAGAAGAACAACCGAGGACATCATTCTGGTCAAGACGACAGGTAGAAGCAAGAATCAGAAGTCACTCACCAGAAGAAAGAACAAGAGGTAATCAAATGAACAGAAGACAATTGGAAACAAGAAGCAGGAGCAACTCACCCCAAGAAATAGCAAGAGGCAGTGAATGGACGAGGGAACAAATGGAAACAAGAAGCAGGAGCAGAAGCCCAGAAAGCACAAATACAAAAAGTAGCCGAGGTAAAAAGAAAAAATAAAAGTCGAATTGGAGGAAAATAATAAAAAGTCACTTAAAGAATAATCACCTTTTATATATACAATATAATGCCGTCATAATTTTTGTTGATAATGGAGAGAAAATGACAATGACTAATGATATGTTTGATATGTTATGGAACAGTATAGGAAATGATGAATTTATTAGTTCAGAAACAAGCGACATATCATCAGAAGAAGAACCGAAAATAACGGATACTACAATAGGAAACCGAATGATGATAACTATCTTAAAACATACTATAAAGAAAAGACAAAACACTCATGTGTATGTGATATTTGTGGAAGGCAGCTAAGTTGTAAATCAAATCTTGCAAAACATAAGAAGTCTAAGAAATGTCTCGTAGCAGGCAATGCTACTGCACCGTGTCAAAAGCTTTTAGTGTAATTGAATGATATTATTAAAAAAATATCATGTAATTCATAAATTGTATGATATTTTTAAAAATAATATCATGTAATTCACAATGAGTAGGAAATTAGATAAGGATGAAATTTAAAAAAGATATATTATGATGTTGATGAGGGTTTCGGTTCTGTTAGAGATTTATATGAAAAAGCGAATAAAGTTGAAGCAGGTTTTACATTAGATTATGTTTCTAAATGGCTGAAATCCCAACCAAACAAGCAAACAAGAAATTATAAGAACTACAATTCATACACGGCACCTTTTCCAAAGTATGAGTTCCAAATTGATTTAATGGTCATGTCAAGTTTGTTAAATGACGTTGGTGTTGATGTTAAAAATCAACCTAAATTTGGTTTTGTTTGTATCGATATTTTTCAGTAAAAAGTGTCATATAGTTCCAATGGAAAATAATGATATTGATACGTTTTTCAATGCTATGTTAGAATGTTTTAAAGTTCTAGACTATCCACTTAGTATATATAGTGATGATGAAGGAGCATTAAATAGTAAGAAGATACAGAATTATTTGAAAGGTGAAGGAATTGAATTAATTATTACTAAAACTCATGCATCACAAGCGGGGAGAATGATTGGAACAATTAAGAAAATGATTAGTGATAGACTTCGTCATCATAAAGGGTCATGGGTTGAAATGATGAAAGTATCCCTGAAGAAATATAATAGTAGTCAAATACATAGTAGCACACAAACAACGCCAAACAAAGCACACGATTTAGACAATGTTTTAGATGTTAGGGCAAACCAAATACTGAAAGAAAAGCATAATAGAAAGTATCCAAATGTGACTGAGGGAGATTATGTTAAAGTTTATAGCAAAGGTAAAGGAAAATTTTGTTTCTAAAAAAGAGAGCCGTTCCGTATGGTCTGATAGAAAATATAAGGTGATACTTATAGGTATGGATTTACTTAATAATAAATATTATAAATTA